CTTCACAAAGATAAAAAATGAGAAGCATGCCGCTTTGAAAATCACTGACACGACACGAGAGAACCACGGAGATAAAACGTAAACATGTCGGAGTCACGAGCTGCAGCTGATACATGTTTCACTCCCAACTCGTGTTGCAGGTGAGTCTCTACAATTTAACACATTGTTCTGTTTCAAGAGAGAAAACGTAACGTCAGTCTGTCTGGTAGATGAAGCTGTTTGTTTGTTTGTTTGTTTATCTGATTAATGGCTGTGATAGAGAATGTGTGTTACTTTTTATTTAATTTAATTGGTACAAGCAGTGTTTAAATGTGATTTATAAATAAATCTAACACAAAGATAATAATTTAATGATTAAGCTTCAACTTTTAATTTGCTGGCAAAGTCTGAAGACACTGCAGGTATGGCAGGATGAATTGCATTTAAACAGGAATTAAAGTAATTTATTACATCTACTCAAATGTGTGTAATTAAGTATTTTATATATATATATGTGTGTGTGTGTGTGTGTGTGTGTGTTTAATTGCTCTTTTAGCTACTTTTGCCTGAACCTAACACTGTAAGTGAAACAAGGCATTTCTTGAGTTGCTGTAAATTATGCTATAAAACATATTTACTCTCTCATTCCAGAAAACAACAACAAACAACAACATCCTTCATGATGGACAGACATCATGGACACCACAGCAGCAGCTGTCTTCACTGAAATCATCCTTAAATGATCGTCACTGACATGAGGCCTCTGTCGATGGTTGAAGACGAAGGCTTCACTACAATAATCCACACTTTTAATCCAGGTTACAATAATCCACACTTTAAATCCAGGTTACAATAATCCACACTTTTAATCCAGGTTACACTCTTCCCTCAAGGACACATTTTACAAAGTAGCTACAAATTGTGCAGGTATAAAGATACATTTGTATATATTTTTGTGTACATTATTTTTTTAAGCTATTTGACTAACTTTTATTTTTTATTATTCAATATTTTACTAACAGAATAGTCAAATAGCAACCTGTTTTTTGTGTGAATTGCTATGTCAGTCAAATGTTCACTTTTGGAATAAAGGGGTGGAAATTAAAACATTGTTTTTTTTTTTTTGCCGATTCATCGATTAATCGAAAAAAATAATCGTCCGATGAATCGATTATTGAAATAATCGTTAGTTGCAGCCCTAATTGTACCTCATTGTAAGGGTCATGGATCTGTATTTACCTAGGTATGAGGGTTTTGTGTCATCATGTGACTTACAAGAGATTTTTGTTGCCCAGCTGTGTCCTATTACATTAATTAATTAATTGAACAATAAATAGTGCTGAATGTCTATTGTTACCGTATTTTCCGCCAGATAAATTGCATCAGTCCAAATATGTCTAATAAAGTGGAAAAAAAATATATATGTTGCTTTGCTGATAAGTCAAATCTATTATGTGTCACCGCTGACGTGCCGCGTTTGTTACGAGTCACCGCTGACGTGTGGCGTTTGTTACGCGTCACCGCTGACGTGTG